TGCTGTAAGGTCATCACCATGTCTTCGCCACGGGGTTCACTGCAAAGAAACGACCCACGGACCTTGAAGAGGTGTCATTTGAGAGTAAATAATATTTAAGCTCTGCGTATCACTCACGACTACAACCCCCCCAGACATCATTTACAAGCAACATTAGGAGGCAATGTTGACAGCAGTTATCGCTAACAGTATTTTCACCATAGTGTGCGTTCTACAATACCTATCATATCATTCACATATTGTTCTCATTCTTGCCATGCCAATCTGAAAGTTGTTTGTCTAGAGCCTCTTGTGTCCAAATACGGTTGACCTCTATTATGAGAATAAGAATAAAGCAGTAATACTGGTAGCAGAATGACAGCAACAGTAGAATTTCTATTATATTTGTGAAAGTTAGCATGCACAGCTTGTATTTGAGCAACTGCATTGATATGGAGAGATAACCCCGTCACTTTCTTCACTGTTATCTGTACTCAGCGGAGGTATTTAGCCTGACAACCCCTTCTTTGAAAGTGAATGATATTTTATACATATTAATGATTCCCATGGTGTATCCATCTAATGACCTTGGAATTACAAACTCGTCTGCAGCGAGCGTGGTCTCTCGCTCTCTCTCTCTCTCGCTCTTACACACACACACACACACAAAGCCTTGAACTGAATAACATGTGCCGACTCAGAGCACTGAAGCTAACAATGTCTATTTTTTCAATCAAATCCAATTACTTCTCGTGTGACTTGTAAAGCAGTGGTATGGAAAGGAGGACAGGAGCAGAGATGCATGAGATGTGGAATGATAGATTAAAAGGTATGTTCAGAGAAAATTATGCAATGAATATGGCAATGGCGACATGAATAAAGGAAACCAGGTAAACAAAAGAAGAGGAGACAAGGAGTATTTAATAAAACAAAGAAAGGAACAAGGAAATGAATACATCTAGAAAGACAGTGAGGGACTGTATGTTACCTGGGTAAGGACACAGAAGGACGGAGGAGGTGAGGAACAATAAAAGCTTATATAATTTCAGTGCTGTAAAGCTGGATCAAAGCACGACTCAAATTGCATTTTGTAATTTAGCATAAAATAGATTGCAGAAGGGAATAGATGAAGATATTAGAGAGAGAATTGGGGTTGGCAGAGATATAGATTAAAGCCAAGGCAAAAAAAAAGAAAGAAATGACACCACTTCTAGGGCCAGTAGATGTGTTGGCTGCCAGTGCTGTTTTTGATCATCTGAGGTCAGGGGGAACTGAATATTTTAGCTTCCAGAATAAGAGGGAAGGGTCGACTCAAACAAGGAGTTCTAAAAAAAGATTTGAATCTTTAAAGACTCTTCTGCAATTTAACTTCCTGGATGTAACTATTGCAAAATTACAACATGCATACATGTTTCCATCGGATTATAATAAACATTATTCGAAGGACGAAGCCACCAGCAAATTTGCTGAAAACCAGAGCTAACTGGGGTTGTAGTTGTTACGAGGGTAGGGGTGAAAAAGTAAGCACAGGCGCGCTTCTGACGGGTTTAAAATCGCTGACCAGATCATCCAGTTAGGCTGATAGAAATATCCTTCCATTTTTCAGTATTTGTATTTGGTATTTGGTCCTAAACAAAAATAGTGAATAAAATTAAATTTTGAACAATTCATCACGAATATCAGAGTTCATAGAAATCCATCTAATAGTTATTGAGCTTCTCAAAACCAGTAACACCAACTTCATGTTGGTGTTAGAGGAAACTCTGATTTATCCTCTGCGGAACATGTATCTATACCAAATTTAAAGGACCAGTGTGTAGGATTTAGAGGCATCTAGTGGTGAAGTCTGTATTTGATGTTTATACACTGGACATTTACTGGCAATCCATCCAACAGCTGTTGAGATATTCAAGTCTGGACCAAAGTGGTGGACCGACTGATTTACCATCATTACACTGCCATGCCGCCAGCATGGCTAAACACAAATACAGAAGTGACAGTATGCTGCTTAAGATTTGTAAATACAATTGAGAAACTGACATATGTAATATGTAATAAATATTTGCAGTGTGACACAGGCTGTGTATATTGGTACCTGAATTGTCTCCAGTTTATTAATATTTTAAAACAAAGTTGCAAACAGACAAGTGACGGTGTCTGTGGATCCTACAGGGACATATTAATCTTCTGTGAGGCAGTGAGTGGAAATGTAATATGCCTGTGTCAATTTGGAGGAACACAGTAGCCTTATACAGATAACTGTCTCTGTCTCAGGCTGGCAGTGCCACAGCCACTTGGGGGTTTCTGTCACCTCTGATTTTCCACACGCCGCCATGCTGCATGTGTGTACTTGTGAGCAACAGCATGATTAACATTTAAGGGGTTGATTAAAGTTTTTGATTCAAATGACTGTAACTCAGTAAAGGGAGGGGAACAGGAAGCAGATGTCAGATCTCGCAAACATGAGCTCTATCTGTTTATCTTCTGACATCCACGCAAGTCTCCCTCCAGTGAGAATACAGTTAAAGTGACAAGAAAGGGGGCAGGATTGTTAGTTGAATTTTAGGTGTTTTTTCACATTTTATGGCACTAAAACTGCAAAAAAGGAAGAGGGATATTTATTTCTTTTACTACACTTTCTAATGAACATAAGTAAGTCAACACACTTTTAAGAATCTGACACACTTGAAGTAATATGATATGAAAAATGTGGTCCATATGACAGATATCTCTCCAGTTTTGTCATCATTATTCACCTCGGACATACGACTGAAATGATTTCTTTATTACTGTCTCTTTGTCTGTTTTACTTGTTGAGTACATTAGTATGCACGCCACTATTATGAATATGTCACAAAATGATTCTGGTGAGGCATATTTTTCTCTAACGCTGGATTTCCTTATCTGCTAGAGTCTGAAGGTTTGATCCCTGCCAAGGACAGCAACAGGCAGAGTTGCTGAATGCTGAATGAATGCAGTATGTTGGAGATGTTGATATTATCTGGCAGGTATCATTCCTTTTACACTGGAAACTTGTAGACCACGAACAGGTTCAGCGTTCCATGTCAACTTCAAATATGCAGCTCGTTGCATTACCATGACGCATAATACTTATAACAGCACCTGTCTGAATGCATCTCTCAGTTGCAGTTACAAATCTTAAAATACCAGTGACATGAATAGATGGGATAAGGCATGAAATCTGCACCAGACAGAAACAAATGCTCAGTACTGCCCGCTATGTTGTTTAGTCAGTGTGTTCTGTTCTAAAAATGCTTTAATGAATGTTTTATGGGCAAGCTTCCATTACTGAAAATAAAATCTTGAACTTTTTGTTTATCAAAAGGGTTCGTCCAATTAACAAGGGCGCTGCATGCATGCGTATACACTAACATGTGTGTATCTCTGCTGTAAACAATAAAACTGCCATTTGAAACTCACACAGATTTAATGAAAGGGTTCACAATGCGGCGATCACATGTGGATTTAAATTCAAAACTGACAACAGTATGGATTTTTTGGACCCTCTCCCATCAAATTTATGCTCATCTCTGACTAAGATCTAACACAGCTCCCAACTCACGGAGAAAAGTTGCTGACATCCTTGACATACTACCCTGCTGGTTTGGATTGACGATGCTGCACTGTGACACAGGGTGGAAACTAATACTTGCCAGTCAACCAGGCTGGATATCAGGAGACAAGTGATTGCACTGTTGATGGGGGTAATTTTGCACAGATAGGGGGTGGAAGGAGGGGGGGGGGGGGGGGTACGGTAAATAACAGATACAAATGCCTTGTGATTGATAAATACTGTATGACAGCACTCAGTCTTCCCACCCACGAAAGTCAGCAGAAGAGGAGGCCGATCTAAACAATCAATGACAAAGAAAACTACTGCAGTGAAACTTTATATACAGAGAACAGAGAGGAGTATGTTTGCAAAAGCCTTTCAAGATAACAACAGAACATTTTTTCATATCGGGGATCTTTAAACAGTTCAGGTGTAATCCTCCCATTAAAAGATTTTATTTTTTCCTTTTGGTAAATATATTTACTTGCTTTCTTTCAAGAGATAGACGAGACTGTAACTACTTCAGCCAGCTGCTTAGTTGGCTTAGCACAAAGACTGGAAACAGGGGAAACAGCTGGCTCTGTTCAAAGGTAACAAAATCTGATTCTCAGTCTTTATCTTCAGCTTCATATTTAAGACAAACACCAACTTTCTCATTTTAACTCTCAACAAGACAGCAAATGAGCAAAGAAATGTCAAACTATTCCTTTAAGGACCGGTGTGTAGCATCTAGTGGCATCTAGCAGTGTAGTTGCAGATTGCTACTCACTCGCTTCACCCTCTGTTTGTGTGAGGGAGAAACTACAGTGGCCGTCTAGAGCCAGCAGCACATGGTGTTCAACATGGCGGATTCCACAGACAAACCAAAGACAGCCTAGCAGTGTCTAAAGGAAACAAATCAACCAACCTTACCAGTCCACACATAACCCCTGTTAAATTATGTTTTTACACTTTTACATTGTTTACTGTTTTTTTCTGCAGATTCAGCAAACAACATATAACTTGTAAA